AAAGGTGTTGGGTTCGAACTCTCAGATTTCGTTGTTGGGTAAGTGCTTGAGCAAGTTGCTTTATCCACACCTTTCTTTTCTGTTGCCATCCTTTTCGCAGGGTGCATCGTATTCCCATGCAGTGCCCGCATCAATTGATTGCGGAGCTTGCGAGCGACGCACCACATGTGGTTGGCTCTAGAAATGTTGTTGTGGCCGACGGTATGAACACAGAGTATGGTGCCGGGACTCGAAACCACCAACACGGCCAACAACACTTGCATCCGACACAGAGGCTGTGTCTGTCGCCGCCTTGCTTTCAAGCGAGTTCTGCCTGCGGCGCGGGCTTTCTTGATCCAACCCGTCGGACGCCGACCCTTCGCTAGAGCTCGCAGTGCTTGGCACGCAAAGACACAACTGAAGAGGTGGACGACAAACACTGGGTTTATTCTATTAGTGTTAGCACTGACGAACGCAGACACCAAGGCTATGCCCCAGGTCAGTATGGTGTATCGGTCTGGCATTCTGCGGATCCAATGTGTGTGCTTGTTGTCTACTTGACTTGCTTTGCCGGATTTGGTGGGCCGACCGCGACAGCCTCGTCGGCGAAGGTGGCATATGTACCATTCGACGAGACTGATCCTCCAAACTGTCGAATAGCACACTGCAAAACTAGCTTCTTGTTCACTTACGAGTTGACTAGCAGCCACACACCACTTTGTCATGGCTGCACTAACGAATGCAGTCAGGAAGGCCAGGCCTCGGGTGAGTGCGGCGTGTCGGCCTCGAAGTCTGTCGGTCGACTGTGTGTGCTTGTTGCCTGCTTGCATTGCTAGGCTGGATGTGGTGGGCCGGCCATCGCAGCCTCGTCGGCGGTGGTTGCGTGTGCACCAGTCGACTAAAGTGAGCCGGCAAAAGAGCAAGCAACACGTTGCAAAACTTGCTGCTCGTTCACTAACGAGTCGACTTGCAACCGCGCACCACTTTCTCATGGCAGTCCTCTTTGGGTCCATGTTCTACAGCGACTTCAGTTTGCAACTGCTTGTGTTATTCTATTGCTTCCCTTACTACCAACCCTGATAGTTTTTCTTCTATGACGACTGCAGCTCGTCAACCTCGATTGCTGGCTAGGTTACTTGTCGTTGACTTTCCGTCTGTCTTTGAAAAACCTCTTCGTGTCCTCTGTGTCAATTGCTTTTGTTGTAGCATACGTGTACGTTGCCATTTCGACAAAGGTTTGTGTTTATGTTGTTTCTTCTTGCTTTTGAGTAAAACAGTGCAGCGACGGCGGACGACGACGAGACAGTGCACACTTGCACTCGCAGGTTCTACCGTGTTTCTGCTCACCCCTCACGTTTTGCTTCTCACCTTCGCACCCTGTGTTTTTCTTTGGTCTACTAAACTGTCTCGTTTCAGTTTCAGTCAATTGTTCTCCTTCACTGTGTTTGTCCTATAAACATGTCGTCGACACCTCCTTTGGAGCGGCGCTGCAAGCGTCCGGCTTCGCGGCCGCCGCTGGGCGTAGATCTTACGCGCAGGCGTATCAAGCCTCTTCCCCAACGCATCAGTCTCGACGCTGCGCAATGCTGCGCGTTGCGTCTCCAACCCAACTCTCAAACTACACTTTCCACGAGCAACAAAGGAGGCTCTCTGCGAGGCGAACTCTTTCACGGGAATTCTGGCAGAGTCCAAACATGGCCGGGTTGCAGTCACAAGCCAGGCACACCGCAAACATGTCAGGCGCGCGGGCGACAAGCGTGTCAAATAACACGCAGACGCCCTAAACTCGCCAGGCTTCCCGCCCTTCAAACATGCCAAACTCGCCGGCCTTTCCTCCATGCTGCGAGAACACGACGGTGCTCGTCGTAGAGCACCTGGCACACGGTTGGGGTGTCGGGTACGGGGTCACAGACTTTTGACACAAAACCAGCGCTGTCAGTTCTCTCCTGTCTCTCTTAAGCGAGCCATGCAGTCAGTGCAGTTCAGTCTCTCTTAAGCGAGCCATGCAGTCTGTGCAGTTCAGTCTCTCGTAAGCGAGCCACGGTGAGTCGCTCACAGTCAACTCTCTCTCGTCACATCTCGTCACTCTCTGGCAGTCACTTCAGTCTAGTCTGTTTTCAGCGAGTCTGACAAACACAGATATTCGGTGGGTAGTATTTTGTAGTAAAACTCTGTCGTGGATGATCTTTTTGGGTTCGGTTGGTGGGTTTTTAGAGGAAAATAAAACTATGTCAAAGGTAATTTTTGGAAGAAAATGAAACTATCTAATAGATGCTTCTTGACTGAGAAGTTAACATGGTCGAAGATGTTTGACTCCCGCTGGGCCCCTAAACACCGTAACAAACGACGACGGCTTCTCACAGAATGAAACCGCTTGCTCGCCGTAGCTGGGAGGGAAGACCGACGCGCTCTCTGCTTTTGTTGGCTCCGGGTGGTGGACGACGCTACCTCTTCCGAGGACGAGGGGATCGTGCGAGGAATATAGCCCTATCTAAAATTATTCGTCGACGTTGCTGTAGGTGTGGAGAGACGTTGAAAGAGACAGAGCAGAAGAAAGCATAACGCTGTGCCTGGCTGTGGCTGTGTTCGACGGCTCACCCGACCTTCGGTGCACTTACTGTGCACCCGGGCGGTCAGCCCCCTTCTTGCGAAGGACGCTGCCGGGACGCCCGAAGTCCCGGCCCCCGTCCTGCGCGAGGGTGGGGGAGCGATGCTCCCCCACAACCTTTTAGCCGACACAGAGGCAGAGACAGAGACAACTACCGACTAATACCGCGACGGAGACAGGGACGGAGACCGAGGCAAATAGTGAAGGAAAAGGGAGAGACAGAGAGAGAGAAAGAGAGAGAGAGAGAGTGGAAAAGTATGTTACGCAATTTATGTTCACATACATCCTCCGCGACAACTTTTTTCGCTTCTGCCTTCCCGCTTAGCGTCACCGTTGCACACAAACCCTCACCCTGCTTGGCCGGCGCCCGGCTGTCAGGCGTAAGCCTCTTAAATCCGGGCGCCGGCCACGCGCACGTTCCCTTGCCGGAGGCCTTCGGTTGGTAACCGAAGGTTATATACGCTCGCCGCCCCTGCCGCCGACCCTTTTGTTCGACCGCGGGGATACCCCGTGTCGACCTCAGGTTAAATCCGGTCGACAGATTTTGATGGCATTTAACTTTGATCTACCAGCATGATTGTGCATGATGTGGAAAACATCGTTTTTTACAGTGTTTCGTGGCCTTCGGCGGATACGACTTGCGCCTAACAGGGCGCCGGTGGTGTCGGTTATGCGTGCCGCGCAGACAGGCTTAATCGACATTCCGTGGGTGTTGGGGACATAAGTTGCCTCACATTTCCCCAACATAGGCGCAAGATAGCCAACATATGCTCAACATAGCCTCCAAGATTGCTCAGCATAGGGCCAACATAGGCCAACATGGGGCCAATATACGCCAACATAGGCCGAACATAGGCCCAACCTAGGCCAACATAGGCCTAACATAGGCCGACCTAGGCCCAACATAGGCTCAACTTGGGCCCAAGATGTGCCCAACATAGACCACGTGGGCGCAACTTGGCCCAACCTAGGGCCAAGATGCGCACCAGATAGCTTAACTTTGCTCAATATAGGCCCCACCAAGTCTCAAAGAGAGAGAGAGAGAGACAGAGAGACAGAGAGAGAGAGAGAGGGAGAGAGACAGAGAGAGAGAGAGAGAGAGAGGACCCAGCCCTGCACATACCCAAACCCAAATAGGCCGGCGCCCGGCTGTCAGGCGTAAGCCTCATAAATAAAATCCTTTCCAATTCTCCGAAATAAGCCGTTTGAGTTTTTGGCCACCCCTCGAGGTCAAAACCCTCTCATCCCTCTCCTCTCCGCTCTTGGCCAGCAGGGCATCCAGGGCCTTTGCCTGTTCCAAGGTTCGAGGGAAGCCATCTAAAATAAAGCCTGTCACGCAGTCAGGCTGCTTGATGCGGTCAGCAATGATGCCAATGACAATCTCGTCTGAGACCAAACCACCTCAAGCCAATCAAAGCAAACAGGAGGGGACGAGAGGAAAGGACAGCATGCAAGAGGGAAGTGGGTCAACATGCTTGCCACAGATCAATACACAACACAATCGTCGAGCAACTACCAACAGCACATCAAGGTCCGGAGCCCAAAGCACAGCTTTCGGTCCAGATTCTCAGATAGAGCAAAGTGAAACGGGTAGACGGTAGAAGCCGAACGGTTGCATTGTTCAACCATATTCGATTCAAGCCCACGCCAGGCCCTACAGACCAGTCAAAAGCCCAACACCTTCAGACCCTTTCAAGTCTTTCGCACGGTCGCATAGCCGGCGCCTGAAGCCATGACCTCCTTGGCCTTCAATCCCACCTCTGTGCCCGCTGCGACGGCTTCTCGAAGCATGTCCCCAGTGCTAAGCTGTGGAATGCCCAGCGTCTCCACGATCTTAGGGCCCTCCGCTGGCACCGCCCACTGGGCGGTCTGTGCACACAAAACCCATGATAAATCCTAGATAGCGCATGATAGCGCTGCAGGTCTTGGTTTTGTTTTGTTCAGCGTTTGGTGTCGGCTTTCGCTCAGGAAATCACAACCCCCTCACCACTGCCTGGGTGCCCTTCCCACAGCCAGGAGCTCCGAAGAGCATCATGATCTTTCGGGGCCAATATTTCTCATATCTCTCAACCACCTTCTGTAGTGCTGCTAGGTCGGCCATGTCGCAGAACAAGGAGCTTCGTCAAAAATTGAGGCCTTGAGCCAAAGCTTCCAGGTTTGCAAAGCCACCAGCACACGCAGTGAAAAGGACAAAAGCACGTCCAAGTCTTTCTGCGTCAGAATCGTTCCATGTAGGAGACTGTGGAGTGGACTGAGGTGTATCTCGTTTTTAAGCATGAGATCGCAATTTCAAGACTAAGAGATTCACCCCCAAACCTATTGAAGCCTACACTACAGTATAGCAGTCTATAAACAATGCCTGTTCTTGGTGGCATGAAGCCACTTCCCCCAAACTTGCTCCATCTCTGTGTGCCTCTCCATCAAGGCAGCTCTGTGTCCAAGCGGTCACCAGCTTGGCGGAGAGCGTGGCCTCGACGCCCCGCGGCCACCACAGCAGCGCCGAAGACCGTGCCAAGGGCGCCCAGGGCACGGTCGCGCGTGGCTTGGCCAAGTGGAAATCCTTGATCGATGAGGAGCAGAGCAACCGAAAAAAGGTGCATAAATCCCAAGAGAGGCGCAAATGACCTCTCAACTGAGCAACTAGAGCATGATTTGGAGTGCCATGAAGCCTCTCACCGCGTTGCGTGTGACAAACATAGCTGCGATAGTCATACAGTTCGGAGAACTGCAGTACGTGAAAACGTAGTCATCGTTTGCCGGCATCTCTACAGTTATGTCAAGTGCAAAGTTTAAAACACTGGCCGATAAAGTACTGTGCAAAACACAGTTCATGTGGAAGGTTGCATGCCGGAGTAGGAAAAGGGCCAGAATTGAATTACTTGTGCAGCCCAGCATCCAGGAGCAGGTCCTTGGTCGATCTGCTCCTGAGAAAATCTCTGCCCAAACAAGCCATGTCTCGGAACTTGATCATACACTGTGCATCAAAACCCGGCAGTGCTTGACGTCTGGACTCTGGACCTGACTCTCGCGACCGGTTCTTCCTCCAGTGAATTCCATCTGGTCTGGTTGGGTGACTGGCCCCTGATACCCGCACAGCAAAGCTGCTGCTCCAACCGCCGCCAAGGTGCCCCAGGTTCGGGAGCCACTCCACTGGAAGTGGCGGGCGCTTTTGATGGAGGTGACGAGCAGCCCAGGTGCTGGGCAAACGGCGGAAGGCGCTGGAGACCTGGAAGGTAAATCCGTGCAGTTCTGCGCTTGGGCACCAAAAGCCAAAGGGCTCGTCTCAGCATCTCAGCCCAAAACACACACACAAATTCCAATGGGACGTGCTGCCTGCGTCCCCTGATTGATTGAGTGGCTTGCAGGGCGCTTGGTTGATAGGGAAGACGTGACCTGCCAGCATCCAACCTCATCATCAGCCTTGTCCAAAGATAGGAGGCTCTCCGTCGCTAGCGACACCATCGACAGCTCCTGATCGCACGTGGGGACCGAGGTTGGTTGGTCCAGGTGACTCTGCGAAGCGCTCCTTCTGCAGCTCTGCTTGGCGCCAGTGGACGACTCCGCTGTTTCGGCTACTGCGCTGCAAGCCGACAAGCAGGGTCCAGCAGCTGTGCCTCCAAACGATGCACAGGGTGAACCAGTTTCAGTGCATGCTCGGATTGATGAAGCTTCAATTGGCACAAAGCCACCTGTCAACTAAATAACGAACGAACGAACCAACCAACCAAGAAAAGCATCCCCTCCCGCGTCGGCACCTCAAAAGCCCTTGCAGCTTTTGCCCCAGCTGTGGTCTTTCCAGCGCTGCTGCGTCGGCGCACAACGCTGCGTCGGGCGTCAGGTGGGAGGAGCGCATCCGGCGGAAGAGCTGGAGAACCTGCGACCAGGCCTCGGTGGAGGAACAGGACTGGAGGGGACAGGCGGAAGAGGTGGAACACCCCCACGGCGTAGAACGGTCTCGAGATATTCGCAAGAGTGGCCGAGAAGAAAAAAAGAGACAGATAGAGACACCTGTCGCGTTCAACAATTATATAAAAACAATTAGCCCAGCTGGAGACCCCAATAGCAAGATACAAACCGGGACAAAAATAAAAATCTGGAAACAGCTGCTGTTTTCAACACATCGACCATCTCTTCCTTGGACACCATCATCACATAACCGGGACACCATCACAAAATGACCAGGGCACCATCAAAACATGACCGAGACACCGTCACAACATGATTGGGACACCATCACAACATAACCGGGACACCATCACAAGGTGACCGGCACACCAGCATGACATGACGGGGACACCATCACAACATGACTGGGACACTATCACAACATGACCGGGACACCGTCACATGACCCGGACACCATCAAAACATAACCGGCACACCGCCAAAACATGACGGGGACACCATCACAACATGACCGGGACACCATCAAAACATGACCGGGACACCGTCACAACATGAGCGAGACACCATCACAACATGACTGGGACACCGTCACAACATGACTGGGACACAATCACAACATGACCGGGACACCATCACAAGGTGACCGGGACACCAACATGACATGACGGGAAAACCATCACAAAATGACCAGGACACCATCACAACATGACCGGGAAACCGTCACATGACCCGGACACAATCAAAACATAACCGGCACACCGCCAAAACATGACCAGGACACCATCACAACAGGACCGGGACACCATCAAAACATGACCGGGACACCGTCACAACACGACCGGGACACCATCAAAACATGACCGGGACACCATCACAACATGACCGGGACACCATCAAAACATGACCGGGACACCATCAAAACAGGACCGGGACACCATCACAACATGACTGGGACACAATCAAAACATGATCGGGACACCATCACAACATGACCGCGCCACCATCACATGATCGGGACACCATCAAAACATGACCGGGACACCGTCACAACACGACCGGGACACCATCAAAACATGACCGGGACACCGTCACAACATGACCGGGACACCATCACATGACCGGGACACCATCAAAACACGACCGGGACACCATCACAACATGACCGGGACACCATCAAAACATGACCGGGACACCATCAAAACACGACCGGGACACCATCACAACATGACTGGGACACAGTCAAAACATGATCGGGACACCATCACAACATGACAGCGCCACCATCACATGATGGGGACACCATCAAAACATGACCGGGACACCGTCACAACACGACCGGGACACCATCAAAACATGCCCGGGACACCATCACAACATGACCGGGACACCATCACAACATGACCGGGACACCTTCAAAACATGACCGGGACACCATCACAACATGACCGGGACACCATCAAAACATGACCGGGACACCATCAAAACAGGACCGGGACACCATCACAACATGATTGGGTCACAATCAAAACATGATCGGGACACCATCAAAACATGACCGGGACACCAGCATCACATGACCCGGACGCCATCAAAACATGACCGGGACACCATCCGCCCACCAGCTCTGACGGTGACCCGACGGCGCCCGTCCGCCTATTAGTTTTGCAAGACCCCATAGCATGGCTATTGGGGAATAATTGCTTGATGAGCAATGATGTACACCCAGGGGTGGTATGGACGCTCAAGTTACCGTAAGTGACTTAGTTGGAATGTGGATGGGCTAGGACCTAGGACCTGCTCGGAGATCTTCAGAGTGTCCCATTGCTCCATCCCAAATGCATCTCTGCGGCCTCGATTTGCACCAAAGGAGCGCATACCTGTGGCTGTCCAAGATATGACGCGGATTGCTCATCACTGCCGGCCTCTACACGGGCATCATGAAAACAAAACAACAAGCCAAGCTGCCGCCCCAAAGGTGGCAGCGTCCGGTGGCACATCAGCGGCCTAGCGTTGGGAGAGTGAGAGTGTAGGACTGATGTAAGAGATAGACAAGGATGGTGCTTGGTTTGGACTCCCTTCAAGAAGCACATGGTTCAGAGGAGTGCAAGACATAGATAATACATGACAAAACATACAATACAATGGAATAGATCGATAGGCCATGCTTTCCCCACGCGGACTCTCAAAACATCTGGAGGCAGCGGTTGTATACGCGAAGGGACCTGAATGGTACACACTGCTCAAGGAAAGATCGATTGCAGTAAAACCAGTGGGCCCTGGGGTCATATTCTTCCCACATTATCCACATCCAAAGAAAGATAGGTGTGCCTCCATGAAGTCCAAAAGCCGCACAGATCTCTTGAGCTGCCCGGCTTTCGCACATGCTGAAATTGCAGCACTGCCTGGATCAAAGCGCTGCCGGGGCTGTGGCCATGTTTCTCTCAGCCTCTTGACGCAATGCCAACAGGGGCCCCTTTCTGCCAAAGGGCACATGAACAAATTTGGGACCGTCCCTGCAGCAATGGCCAGCGCTGCTTGCCACTCGCTGCACTTCTCCTCAGCATTGACCAGCACAATTGAAGAACATCCAAAGAGCAGGTCACGTTTGTGTTGGTTAAACAGGACAGGATTGGTGTCTCACTTGCTTGATCGGCTTGCGGAGGGTACCAATGATCGGCTTCCGTTGTGCCTGGTCCAACCCTGTGAAACCCACAGACCTCCGGCCCAGGCGGCACAAGCGCTGCAAGCAGCGCCGTAGGCTTCCGGCAGCTTCCAAGATTCCATGGACTCGAGCAAGGCAATGGCACGCTGCCACTGGAGACCTGCAAAGGTGAGGGGTCCATCATACTGTGGTATACTGTGGTCTGACCCTAGAAGCGATGGCCTCCAACCTAGAAGCGATGGCCTCCAACTTAATAGCGAACATTCATATCATTCATATTATATAGCATTATTACTTTACCTGGAAGCAGAAAATAAGAGCCCCTTGGATGATCCTGTCCTCTACAAACAGGTGGTTTTCCATGTCCGTGACCATTGCCGTCATTTGGTATATGAACGCGACTAATTCACTTGAAGTGCGCAGGAAATTGAACCCTGGCCTGTTGAAGGACCAGCACGTCGCTGGTTTTCGATTGGCTCACGACCATCTACAACACCAGGACAAAACAAACAACTAAACACATGTACCTACAGTATTCACTGCCAGAAATGCTACAGTAATTCATTTTGTCATGCGAACCTTCAGTCTCCCTATTTCAGGTTGGTCTGTCCATCCCCGTCTGCCTTTCTCACAAGCACTGATCGCCGAGCACAAGGCACGCGCATCAGCACCATCGCCTAGCATCTTCAGCAAAGCAAGCGCCTGCCGCCATAGACCACCCCGCTCACAGGCCTGGAAGGAGGAGTTACCAGCTGAAGAAACAGCTGCCAACATCACCACACCATCAAAACGAGAAGAAATCCGGCACCTTTTCCTGGGGCCCTCCACATCTGAGACGCAAAGGATTTTACGCTTCAGTCAAGCCGAGACACACCCATAATCGCGCTGAAGCCGGCAGCTGTCACCACCTCTCCTCAGAAACGCCCCTAAAGGAAGGAAAACCAGCGATCGTTGGTTCCATTCAACCCCCACCGTGCTGATTGGACAAAGTGGTTGCATAGCACATGCCCCCTGTGAGTATCCTTTCACTTGTTGGCCTCCGCAGAACTTTTCCCCGGCCTCCGTCCAGCAGCTTTCGTAACATCTGGAGAGCCTCCTGCCAACAACGTGCACGTGCCATGCCGTGCAGCAAGCCATTGCAGCTGTACCTCGGAGCGACCCAAATGATCGAAATGGATGCCGCAATGGTTTCCCCCGATCAATCCCAAACTTATACAAGGGCCTCATAGTATGACTCCAGGGCCTCATCGACTCCAGGCAACTAGAAGGGCGCCCTGATTATGACTCATGACCCTCCATGTTTTCCATGCATTCGAAGTGTGCCTTGACAGACCTGTCATGGGGCGACCAATGTCACGGTCGGGGCGCTCGGAGGCGACCAATCCCACTTCTCGGAGACGCTCAAAGAGGGCCAAAGACCAGCGCCACTGTCCGGCACGAGCACAGGCGTTCAGAGCCGTGTTGTAGCTGAAGAGGTCCGGCTTCGGCAACGTCATGCCGAAGTACGTCTTTTCGGCATCCATGTCGGCCTTGGGAATGGGAGCATGTCTGGATTTTGGGGGCGCGGAGGAAACGCATTGGTGTTCAGCCTTTCGCTGAAGCTCATGCGCCTTACACACACTCGGCCATGTTTCACCTGAGCCCCTCGCCAGAAGCTGCAGAGCGAAGGGCCACTCGGTGGCTGAGGCATAAGCGTTGAGGAGAGAGTTCCAGGTCACAAGGTCAGGTTGCTGAGAGTCTCCATATGGGAAATCCTGCGCCCGGAGGAACGCCAAACACCCGAGCAGTGGCCAGCAGATGCGAGCGTGTGTGGGTGCGTTGGTGTGTTTTTGTCAATGGTGTTCATGATGGGCCATGTAGCAGTTTTGCACACGTGAAGGTGAGCCTCTCGAGGTAAAGACACCCCATGACAGAAACCTACCTCCGGAAAAATTTCCTGGAATCTGACCACAACTCACCCCTTTCTAGCTGCAGCCGATCACTTCCAAACTTCGCTCACCTTGGCCCGTGATACCTGTTTCAGTGCCGCGTGCGCAGGGAAGCTATCCCATACCATTGAACCAAGGGGCCAGGGTCTGCCATGTGACACCTGTGTTTGACACCGTTTCACGATGAGCATCATCTCACCACACCTGCAGGAGGGCTTCAGCTTGCTGCCATTCTTGAGCCTCGTGGCGTGCGCAACCAGGGGGGTGTGGGTGATGCTGAACCAGCAGGTGGATGAAATGCACCTAGAGCGCTGGATGAAATGTCTTGATGGACATGCGTTGGAAGAGAACCATCAGTGGAAATCCATGCATCGAAAGGCTCATGGATGATCGAAGGGATGCTGTCTGGCCGCCTTGCCACATGCGCTGATGGCGGCATTGAATGTAACCAAATCAGCATTAGAGCGCACCTGTCGGTCACCCGTGTCACGGGAGAACATCCATCTCAACCGGCTTCTGTGGCTCCTACAGTCACCTAGTCCATCCTAGCTCTCGACTTCCAATCCTCACCCCAGACATCCACCCCTCTAAAAAGCACTTGTTTTGTGGATTAGACGCCAAGACCCACAGGCCTCCTGCCATAAGTCCAGGGCTTGGAGCCAAAGCTTGGCCTTCCCCAGTGTGGAGATGGACGCCTTAAAGAGGCCACTGACACGAGTGTGCATTTTAATAGGGAGACCCAACCCATGAGCTTTGGTCTATTTCCCTTCCAGGCGGCCAGCTCTCCCTAGTTTACTACAAACCTGCGTCTGCTCTCAGGCCGAAATGTTGCACACAGGGAGCTTTGGTGTGCCCAGGTGCGCCGCCATTCTTCAGAGAAATGGCACTACAAGTATCGGCACTCGGCGAAACTCCCGGTAATGGTACTCATGGAAAAAATTGAAAACAACAATCCATGTCCAGTTTGCATTTGCCTAGATTCTTGAAAACCCCGGTGCTCATGGGCCTGCCGGCTTGAAATGTTCCAAGTCTGCCAGGTGGCACTCCACTCGGCAGGGCCATCGCTGCCCATGTCGCCATGGCGGAACACGACGAGCGGGCATGGCCAGCAGGTGATTTCCAAGGGTCTTTGTGAAAGAAGTTGGTAGCCCTAAGATACGTCGAGGTTTGATGTGTTGATGGCCTGCACAATGTGCACGCATTGATCTGGCCAAAGTGGCCAACAGATGTTCTCCGGATTCCTTGCTGCATGGCTGGTGTGCGTCAGCCAGATCGGATCTCCAAAACAGAACCTCCAGGAAGACGCATGTGGCACAAAGGTTCCAGGGAGCTTTACAGTTAGGTTGGAGGCCGTCGCTATTGGGTTGGAGGCCAGCGCTCTTAGGTTGGAGGCCATCGCTATTAGAAGATATATATATCATGATGAAAGGATTTTTGAACTGTTCGTTGAGAGATGACAATGATCATCAACTTCAGCCCTCACTTGAGACCCGAAAATGATCACGGATCAAACCCTACATCGAACCTCATGAGAAGATTTCAACGAAAACTCAATGTAATATACACTACACTTATACAGTTTCATTTATAAGTCAGGGGGACCGGTCTCAGGTTCCGACGACGCGACTCGGCGCGGCTGCTCTGGAGCAGGTCCTGTCTTCAATGCGCTGCGGGAATTGGTCAAGTTGGGCCTGCCTTCATGATATAGACTCTTCAAGGAAAAAACACCCCATTTGGATGCACGGACTTGCGGACGGTCAGTCGATGACGCGCGCGCCCACGCCCCCCTTTCTCAGGTTGTCTGAGAGGTTGAGGTGGGTGTGAAAAAAAAAAAAAAGTGGTAAATGTACACGCGTGAAAAAGGGGGTAAGACATATGTACACCTAGCTACGAACGAAGAAGGCTTTTGCATGGAACAAGGACCGGGGATAATGGCTTGAAAACCTCTTCATACTTCAGATGTGAGGATTATTCATCAAGATTCTCAGCCATATCATGTGCGAAAGTTATTATGCCATGCCTCCAGCGACCCACTTGTCCGGTCTCTGCTCCTCCAAGTGAGCAACGAAGGCCTGCGCGATGATAGGGGCCAAGTCCTGTCCAAGGCCGGAGCGGAAGAACTTGGCAGCTGGCGTGATCGCAACTGACCTGTGTGGGACAAAAGCTGGTAAGAATGCTGTTCGAGCCTTGACGAACCCATGGGAATTACAAACAGCTATGGAAATTGGCAAGAGCAAGACGGATTTGGGAAATGTGACATCATCTCCTCGCGGTAGTACCTGGCATAGCAACGCTTCACAAACGACTCTCAATGCAAGCAGCTCCAACACCTCAGCATGCTCAGGCATTCTCCACCTTTTCTGACGTCTTCTTGACGCAAAGGACTGGAGGTCACCCCAAACCAACTGTACAGGTTGGGTCACCCTCCACCTTGTTGGCCACGTGGCTCGTGAATCACTGTGTGCCCGTGCTGCTCACTGGGCCCTCAGGAGGCTTTGGATCGTGACGCGCACCGTGTGGCCGATCTGCTGGAAGGCCTGGCCCATGTGTTCGGCCAGCGCGCGTGCGCCGCGGCCCGCAGGGCAAAGCACATGGATGTAGACGCTTTGGCCGGTGCTGGTCGCCACCTATGTCGTGTGTCAATATGTGTCATACAACTGACATGCGATTAGAAGTAGAAAGAAATAGAAACACATAGAAACACCATGCCAGCTTTTGGAGGAAACATGGGGAAACACTAAGTGGGTCAGAGAGGTCCCTCACAAAAGGATTCCAGCTTTACACTGACCTCGAGGACGACTCGGCAGCCAGAGAGGGTCGCCTGCCCACACGGTACCAGCACATAAGAGTACACATGGGCTGCGGCTGATCCCACTGCCGAAGCGACCGGGACAAGGACATACTGGTAGCCTGCGCTAGTGGCAGCTGCTAGGCCCATTGCAAGGCCAACCACCACGGTGGATCCGGCATTGAAGCAAGGCAGCAGCACGTATGTAAATGACGCAGAGGCGAGTGCAGCCAAACCATTGGCAGCTGCAGCCAGAACAGCGGCAACACCAGAAGCCAACGCTGATGCAGCATGGCCCATGGGAGTCAACAGGTTGTTGTACGTAAAGCTGGCCAATGGCCGCACCCCGTGCGCGTACACGTGTTCGGCTCCAAGGGCCATCATGCGGCCAAGGAATTTTAAGCCTTCCCAGGTGACCCCTGCAGCAGGAAGAAGGATGTAGCTCCAAAGCCCATAAGCGGTTCCAGCCACCAAACGACCAAGCCCCTTCAAAGCATGCAAAGATGCCTGGCCTGCTGGAACCAGGACCAAAGCATAGAGAGCCTCCGCGCCTTTGGCAAGAGCTTGACCCAGCGGCACGAGCACGTAGTTGTACGTGCCGTTGCCCGCAGCTGCAAGCCCGGACCATGTGGCAGTGCCACAGGGCACCAAGAAGTTGTTGTAAAAGGCCTGCGCTGCCCCAGACACCGCATTTCCGGCAGGTACTAGGCCATGCTCGTAGATCCATGCAGCTGCATTGGCCATCTTCTGGCCACACCAACTCAGAGCGCCCCATGAGGGAGCAAGGACCAAATCATAAAACCCCTGTGCGGCGACACCGACGATATCTCCCAGAAGGTTCAGGCTCCCAACAGCTCCGTCCCACAGCAATCGCCCCGTCGCCGCCAAGAGGCGCGCCAGTGGCCGCAGCACATAGACATGCGAAGCGCTGGCACCTCGCACCAAGCCTTGAAGACCTAAGCGGCACAGGGGCCGCACAAGCCCAGCAAAGATCCCATAGGGAATGAAGAAAGTCACCAAGGCCACAGGCGCCGCCACCAAAAGTACCACGCCCTTGGTGACCAACCTCAAAGGGCTTGAGAAATCCTCCTCGGTGAAGATCCGGTTGGTCTGCTCTTCCAAGGGCTCCCCTTCGAAGTTGGCCACAGTGGTTGCAAACCACGGCAGGTAACCAATGACTCCAGCTCCAGCCAAGAGAGCAGGTGCTGCAGGTGGACACACCACAAAACAAGCAGCAGCGCCTGAAGCGAGGAGCACACCAGTCACCATCAAAGGGCGGATGTGGTTGTACATGCCTGAGGGGTCCATGAGAACATCCAATGCCAACAAGTGGTTTGTTTCTTGGTTTGCTTGGGTCGTGTTTCATGTTGTTTCATGTTATTTCTCCAAGATCCGTAGCCCTCCCTCCAAAAAGCATGGAAGTGAACAGGAGCTTGTTGTCTCCGCACCCACGCCTTCATAAGCTGCCATTTGCGATCGTTCGAGTCTTAATTCCATGGCCCGCACCAACTCGACATAGTCATCCACAAAGTGCCCTCGAGCATGATTTTGGATACGCCGCCGGCACACCGGACACGCGCTTGGAGTGCTTTGCATCAGCACATCTAGGCATGCCTCACATAGGACGGCATGCCTACAGGGCATCAGCACCACATTCCGTGGCTCGGTCAGGCAAATCACACAAAGCCGTTCTTCATCCAAGCGCGCCATGTCCGCGGTGAAGGTCTTTCGTAGCCATTGGGCCGCTGCTCGTGGGCTCTGAAAACTCCGCTCGAAGCTGCCACGCTGGGTGTCCGCAGAAATGCGAACGGGTCGAATCTCATGAAACTCCTCCAGCTTGGCTGCAAGAGCTTCTGGGCTATGGAGACTGCTCCATCGCATGGGGTTGTGGCGGGAAAGATCTTGGATCACTTGAAAAGGCAAGAGCCGTGCATCTCCCCACATGTACTTCACTTTGGCATTCTCATCCAGCAGCCCACGGCAATCATCTTTCTCTCCAACTCCGGACACTTCTTCAGTAGTTTCAGGGTCTCCCTCTCTCGCAATCTCTGCACCGACCTCTTCGGTTGCATTGGCATGATCCTCAACCACCATCTCCTCAGGCTCGTCTGCTTGCGGCCGGGTGCACGAAAAAATGGAGAAGCCCGGCTCGTTGGGCGGCTGCTGCGTCAACTCCCAAGCGAAGTTCTCACGGAGCCACGGAAGAGCCTGGCTGGCATCAAAGTCCACAGTGAGGGTCTCATCCTCCGATGACATGTAGATCCTCACAGGCCGCTCACGAGATGCTTCCAGTTCCGCAACGAGCTTGGAGACATGCATTGCAGGGCTCCATCTCATGGGGTTCATCCTTGCAAGGGTGCCCAGGAAGGGAAGCCCCGCGTCACCCCACATGTACTGAAAGTGTCGTTGCGGTGCCATGCCTTTTGCAAAGTCCTACGGAAGGAGCCTTGAGCCGAGGCCTGAGGATCATAGAATCATCAACTTGTCCACAATTAGAAACTGTATTGAACATGTTGAATAACAGTTATAACACATCTCACATCTCCAAGACCCACATCTTTGGCTCCGCTTCCGAATCCAAGTGTGCCTCTGTCCTTCCGCATCCTCACTTAGACAGAAAAACACGTTGGACACACGTCCTAGTCTGAAGCGTCTGTCTGGGCGCACCCATCCCAGTCTGCGGCACCCAAACGCCAAATCGCGACAGGCTCCCCTCGAATGGTGCTCGTGCCCAAGCGCCCAAAAAAGCCTCAGTGAGATTCCATTAAAACAGCACACGGAAAAGAACGACTAAATTCACTTTCAAATCTCGCTGGCAAAAAATCAATCAGTGCTTGGTTTGAACAAGTTCTTGGAGCGGCAATCACCCTCGCAAGCCCCACGGAACCCAAAAACATACGTGGAGACTGCATACTTGGCACCCAGTAGGAAGGGAGAAAATGCAAGAAAACACATATAATGAGTTAAGACACTTGTTGCAGTCCAAGGGTCCGTATTTTTTTGCAATGGAAGCTTCCCATGAATGCTCCTGGAAGCGCCAATGCCAAGCGACATCGCCACTGGCTCGGTGTCCAGAGGCCGTATATCTTTCACCACCCCCAAAAGTCATCATGACCTTGGCAAAAAGTGTGGAAGTGGAAGGAGTCATGGGAAGGAAGGAAACAATATTGAACCTAATTACCTCCTGTCCATAATCCAAGAAAGCAAGCATCCAAAAGGCTTGAAAGGAAAATCTCTCCAACAACCAGTGGCACGTATTAGCTATACTGAGTCACTACTGGCTACGCCTCGTTTCTCTGCTCATCCGCGGCTCATGCATGTGCCATGTTCTTTCTATCTGTATATTATTCCGTGTGTGTTGGATCATATTGAGGCGAACCTCTCTGAGAAAGTTGGAGCAACACAAAGCCCGAAAGTCTCCTCTCTGAAGTGGTCAAACCATTTGCTTGCAACATGCATGATTTTCGACTCTATGCCGCTACACAATTCTAAAATTAGGACAAATTAATGCTTTGGACACTATGTTGAAACCAGAATACTGAAAAACAAGACCAATGATTTGGGCACTATTCCGATTCCCAATCCAAGAACTAGGAAACTAAAAAGAACAATGATTTGGACACTATGTTTATCCTATATAAAGGTTTGGGCTAGTTTGGAAAATGTTGTTGTCGTTTTTTGTTTGCTTGGTTCGCTTGACTCTAGAGAGAACATAATCAAGTTCGGACATGACAAAAGGAGAGTCATCAACAATAAACAAGCCATTTTGGAGAGAGTTGTGAATCCTACTGGGAGGAATGGCATCAGGGATGTCTGGTCTGCCCCATTGTCTGGTCGCTGAAATTTCAGCAGCTTTTTGATTTGTTGGGTCTACACAACTTGGGGCAAACGAACTACCTGCAACTCTCTGAACGGTGCACATCCTGCGTTGCCATCACCGTCCCTCAAAGAACGCTGAGAGCGCTGGGTGGCTGATTGCATCGACTCACGCCGCCAGCGCAATGCATGAAGATACATGGCTGCAGCTGCGTCAAGGTCGAAGTTCCGAGACTTTAGGAAGCCTCGGCGCTCCAACATCGATGGAACAGGCCAGGGGCCCAGGGGCCATATCATATGTGTATGGAAAATGCATGCGGGCAGCCGGCACCTGTGTTCTACGTGTTTTACCCATCATTGTTTCCTGTTATATGTCTGCATGCAGGGCATCCCGGTGTGTATATAAGAACTCACCGATCCTTCCGCCCTTGCAGGTCTTGTACACGGCTTTGTCTGCGGTCGCGATGATCCATGGCAAACAAAGCCGTGAACAGAGCTTGAGAGGGCAAAAACCGCCGCGTTCTTCTTAGTGATAATTATATAAATACATATTTGGTAAGAGCCCCTCTGTGCCTTTTGCAAGGGCAATCAATTTGAGATTCGTGAACAGGGGCCCAGCAGGATGCTCATCGAATTGGCACAATAATGTACAGTAATGTACAACTCCTCAAAGCTGACTGTAGCTGATCTGCGCACTTTCAACACTGGATGCGGACAAGGGGCGCAGGAGCATCAACCTTAATGAACAGGACAAAATGCTGAGGCCCGCTTTTGTAGGGTATCTGAAGCTTCTTGCGTTCGTATCGCTCATGCAAAGTAAAAGGGCGAGAAACGGATCACAAAGGGGTTCTGGCGCATCTCCATGTGCCCCCAGGCGTTCCGCCAGTTGAGCCACCTGGGACGTCCACCTGGGCAACGCAAGTCTTCCGGCTCTCCGCTCGAACATGTGTCGGCCTTCGGCCATTGACTTCGGACTAAGACAAGCGACATCAATTTGTTTGGGGCAACAAACTGGTCGATCGGTGAGGTTAAAAAGGAACTTCTCCTTGCCCACCTGAAAAACTTCACCAACACCCTGGAGTCCCTGGAGACAAGAAAATACACATGATCCCTTGAAGAACATCTTTGCAAACAAAGAGTGTTCTTCACCGAAAACGCTGCTGGCAAGTATCTCTGGTGGTACGCCAGCCAAGCGAACCAGTTCCAGCTCCTGTGGGCAGCCGAACACTCCAGTAAGAGGTGCAAACTGACCACTACAACCGTATGAGCAACCACAAAATGATGCGCGGAGACATGTGAAGCAGGGTCGGCCTGCAATCATCCTCCCACGAATCAATAGAAAAAGAACCTATGCAAAAAAGGGCAGGTCTCCTCGTCCGGAGGCTCTTGTCTGCCCAGCTTGCTCTCCATCGCAGAATCTTGGAAGTCGCTCAGGCTGTGAGCAAATGATCTCACTGAACACAACCCGAGACACCAGCCCCCGCATAAGTACATACACACACATATATATATATATATGTTATATTATTATATATATACCACAAATACAAGCAGGCATAGTTTGCCAGATTTGCCAGGTAGCTAAAGCTCAAGCTGGAGACGTCAAGCCTAAGTGTGGAGAACTCAAGTGCAAGTGATAAAGTACAGTGCTAACTACAAACTCTAGACTCCCTAGCCTCTGAGCTACCAGGGCGCTCGCTTGGATGTTGTTTGTTTTGCAAGCTCACGTTCTCAAGGGGAACAATGAGCAAATCTGATCTGTCAAGCACCCCACTCAGGCCCAAGCGTCAAGGAAAAGCTCTTGCAAAAGTTGATCCACAGGGAGAGCAGCAAAAGAAACCTAAATCCACGAGATCGGATGGAAACACCAACCGTCGCCCCCAAACGCGGCCACCGGTCGCCCCGTGTCGCCCCATGCCGCGACCAAGGCCGAGGGACAATGCCCAAAAGCGCAGTGCCTGGTCGGCCCAAACATAGCCACAGGCCAGCAGTGCCAAAAGGGCAAGGCACCTGTTCAGCTGTGATGCATCAGCTCTGTCCCCAGGCTTTGGGTGAGGGAAAAGAAGGTCAGTTGCATCTTGTGTGCCGCCAAGTGTCTTGTCACAAAAGAGAAACCATGACCACGCCATTCCATGGGTTGGCAGGGCGAAGCGTTGCAAATCAGATGTGACAGAGTTGCTTCATCTAGAGACATGTGACATGTGTTACAACAAGGACAGCTTTCTGCATATGACGTAGCCCTGTCAGCCACGCTGAAGGACTGAAGCACAATGCTTGTATCAGGGCCTCTGTTGCCTCGATGCCTTGAGTCAATGGCCGAAAGTATTGGACTATTCAGTTCTTCCTCATTGAGCGTTTATGTCAGCAAGTTTGGCAAAACCCTTCTGCCATTACAGTGGCGAACTCCCTTGGCTTGGACCACTTGAATTGATTTACAGTATCTGTTCAGCCTGACCTGCCAGCTGGCAGCTGCAGAGAAAACTCACCCGCAACTTGATTGATGCCCCCTCAAGCGCCAAAAAAACCGAGCTCAAGCTCTAAAACCTCGCCAACCAACCGAACTGCAAAGCGGTCCTCAGAGTCCTCAACATAATTAGACAGTCAAGTGCGACGAAAGGAGAAGTAGTGAACTTTGAACATGGGGAGATCTCTTCGCTGCTCGCGCTCTCGCTCTCGCTCTCGCTCTCGCTCTCTCTCTCTCTCTCTCTCTTGGGCATCCCTGCATCCACTGTGACTTCTACTTCCAGTCTCAGCACTGAGATCTCCTGGCAGCATACTCCAATGACTACTCAGCTGAAGCCCCAGGAAGATCCCACCGGTCCGGCCCCCTCGAAGTCACACAGGCATTGCGCGGCGTTCCCCCCAAGTTCACCCAAAATAGGCATTTCTCAGGCCTCCTTCAACTTGGCTGCCAGTGGTGGGGCTAGGGCTGCGCCATCGGGCGCGAGAAGAGGTGTGATGGCCTCAGACGAAGTTGCCAGCCTTCGAGTTTCGGTCCAACAAGTGAATTTAAAGGTGGGTTCGCATGCAAATCCTTGATACAGTACTTGTACCGTCTTTCTCCTACTTGACTTATCACTGGATGCTTTAGTGAGTGTGATAACCAGCAACAGCACTCAATCATCAGTCTATCGCAGCCTAGAATCAGTGGTCCAACCGATTGCAACCACCCTTTTCACGTCTCTAGAAGCCATGATGGGCACGACACCCCCTTGAGATACTAGGCAGGCATGGAAATCTCAAAAACCTACTGTATAATTGCTGATGCTAGCCATGCTGTGCGTTTTTTCCTGTTTGCGGTCTCGGAAGATAAGTCTGGGGTCGCCAAGCCTGAAGCTCGCCTAAAGCTCGCGAAGGACGTCCTGGGAGAGCATGGCTCGTTGGCTCCCTGCACGCCCCACAAGGACGGATGGGTTCACCGGATTGAACACTTGGTGACTCTCGCTGGTAGGATAAACATACAAATGGCATCAAATGGCCAGAGATATGCCATGATATAGGATGCGCACTAGGATGCGCATATGTTGAACTGCTTCCCCGCACAAATAGAAACACCGCAAAAAGCCATACCTAAGGCTCAGTCCTAAGGCGCACAAGGCCTTCACAGCCAAACGCCGGCCTTGAGGACGCTTGAAAACGCCCGCGGACGCACCAGACGCATCCAGGCACCCGGAAAGGTCAACCAAAGCACGGGTCCACACAACATGCAGGGGGCGTTTGTTTCCGCAAAACGACTCCTTCGAGCGTACCCCTCGGTCAACCTCTTCATGATATTTCATGATACCATTGCGAACCACCATCAAACCACACCTGAAGAATGCTCTTGTGAGTTTTGGCCTCCGTGGGTGGTGAGGTGTTTCTGGTGTTGACGTTCCCCGAAACTGGAGGATGTACACCACACGGGCTGCTGCTGAAGATCATTCATCGCTTTTGTTGGCAACGCCAGACGTACGAACGTCAAACGAAAGGGCTCAGCGGTCAGCGGTTGGAAAATCAAATGCTTGGCTAGGTGGTGAGCATTGGGCAACCATCCTGACCGCTGCAGGCCACTTGGAAGCCGGCTGTCAGACATGACTGCGCTGCTACGGCTTCGTTTGAATATGGGAAGCTGCCAAGCGAACTCGCAGCGTCTTAGCGCTCTGGTAGTGTCTCTGCCTAAGTTGGGCAAATGCAAACGATTAAACCTCCAAACTCAACTCCGAGTCCAATCCCAAAGTCATTCTTCCAAGGTGCCAGCGCCACCCCCTGGTCAGGGCTCAAGCCAATGTAACCGTATGGCTGCAACATAGCATTGCACAAACAGCCCGAGATATGAACAAAACGACCCGGAATATTGTGCTCTCTGATGCGGCGGTGCCAGTTGTCATGATAGAAACGAAGCAGGGCTTCAATAGATTGACCAGTTCTGTATCTCTACCGGCATGCGTTCAATTCAACACATGTGGCGAAGGCTGTGGGTGGACACCAAGCCCAAAACTCCGCCAGACCAGTTTGGAACACGTTGCCCACCTCCATAGCCCAACTGAAGGGTGCTGGTGCACTGAGGGTCGCCAGCCGTCCACCACCGCATCGGAGCAACCACAGCTCGTCTTGGGCACGGTAGCCTGGGCCAAGGCGGCCCAGGGGCTCCACAGCCGGGTTGGCTGGTTGGTGTTTCTTGCTATCTGTTGTACCAATTTTTAATTGAAAAGTTCGGCAAGAAAACAAACCAAGAGTGCCTATCTGCTCGAAAATGGTTGACGCCGTTGGTGTGAGTCGGCTTCATTCGGAACTCTGCGGTCGAACTTGCAGGAGCCCTTGCTTCCCGAACGGTTACCATGTCGTGTCGCCATCGTCTTGCACACGGGCCTGCCACCTGCCAGCGCCGTCGCAGCGAGGCAGACGAGGGGTCCCGAACCTCGGCGTTCGAAGAGCAAAAAATCCAAGTGTTTAGGAACCCTCACTCACAACTATCGTGGTTTTGGCATTTCGCGCTTCGGTCTATGCCAAGAAACCCTTTGGAATTTGGTCGGAGCTTTTGCCATTCCAGAGAGGTCCTGGATAGCAACGCACCCAACGTTTTCAGAGCAATTTGTCAAAGCACAAAACGTTATCCAACCTATATAGTTTGACCAGCCACCTCCCACTGATTAGTCATGGTAGTAGGATTTGCGGCTGGTGCGCCACTACCCTTGCCTGGCCACTGAGAATTTCCATTGCATGTTGCACCAGTTCTGCATCCTCTCTCAAAGCCAGGTCCAAGCGACAAGCCTCAGTGTCGAAGGGATTTGTGAATGGCTAAGCTCTAGTCTAGTGCCCAATGGGCAGATCCTCTGCCTGCCACCTGTTTGGTGGTCCTCAGCCAAGCGTCTAACAGCAGTTCGAATGCAACTTGCCGGCTGCGGCGAGGGTGGCCTGACCTGCCACCCCAGAAGTGGAAGTTCTCACCCAAGCCAACCGACAGGTGTTGGTCGACTTTGCCTACGAGTACATACATATGCAAATGCACACATTGGTTGGCACGCTTGGGTCTTTTCTTCATCGGGTCGCCATGAGCCGCTTTGCCGGCTATGTCGTCTCTCAATTTTGAAAACACTCGAAAGTGGATCTGGTCCTGTCCTCAACCGGCTTCTGTCGGCTTAGGGGCCACCTGCCACGCGGTCTCGGGTCGAGCGGCAGCGCCCGCCAAACGCGACCAAGAAGGACAGTGACCCTTGAACAGATGGAACCGAAGGACCGACGAGAGGAGACGGGTCACCCAAACGATGGAGAACTGTAATGCACCGCCCGAGCAAAGCTGCGCAAGAAGTCCAAGTCGGCCTGCGGGCTACGCAGCGAAAGTTCAACTACAAGGAAAACTGGCGAAGATAACGCAGGCGAAGGTCGAGACGCATACAATGACAACAGCATCGCAAGAGGCGAGCACACTTTTTGGCCCGGACAAAACGCTTGCACTCTTCAGTGTGAAAGGCACGACGGACAGACGCAGAGACGGCCCTGAAGATATGCCCGGCGAGGCCATTTCGGCGCCGAAGACATCAACGGCACTGCGCAAGTGCGAGGCGCGAACCGCGGAGACCAAAGCCTTGTCAGTTTTCAGGGAGTCCAACATCGGCGCTCCACTTTTTCCAAGCCTCCCGCCAGGAGCCACCTGTCAGGGTGGAAGCCGGGATTTGCAGTTGTTTAGCCCAAGCACCGATCACTGAGGAAAGACTATCTCTGTCAAAGCTACTGCAAGGCGAAGAGTCACCAAGCTAGGTCTCCTTCTTTAACTGTTGAAAGAAAACAACTTGCTTAGCTTCAGCGAAAGGCAAGCGCAATCTCCGGCGCAACTGCATCTTTGCCTTCAAACCCTGACAATGCCACGTTAGGGCTTTTTTGTGATGATGAGGACGAGCAATCCCCGGAGCGCGCCTTAGAGAAAGAGATGGAAACAGGGCTGCACGCAGGCGAAGACGGAACACTTGCACCATGAAGACTTATATAAGTTGCGATGTTGCACTATGATCGAGGAACAGAGTTCATTGACAAGACAAACAAGTAGTCTGAATGTCCTTGCATGGCTGTAGCAAGTGTCACTTCTTTGCTGTTTGCCCCAAGATTGTGTAACCCACTTACAACTTTGATATGCACGTCGTGATTCCTTTGATTTCAGCATGCATGTCGCTGTTTCAGCGTTTCTTGATTTATTTTTGGGACATTGCCTCGCCCCCTTGCGAAAGCAATGCCAACTTCAAAGCTATTTGGACCCAAGCCTTCCAAGTTCATACCTTTTCCTCCGCCCAACGACGGAGTCCAGTGGATGATTCACAAGGGTCCGTCATCTATGAAGACCCAAGCACTCCGTACGCCCAGAAAAGTAAAGCTTGCAGCCCCCAAGCGCGACAAGTGGCGGGACGGGATGCAGTGGAAGCGGAATGTCCAACAGCTTCTTGCTGCAGATCAGATAACCATTCTCAAATGCTCATTGAAGACGGCCTAGTTGCCAGCGTTTCATCACTCCACAGCATTTGCATCCTGTGTTCACAGCAACCACGGGTCCGGAATGCGTCTGGCCAACGTCTCACTGAGCACAATCCACATACGGGCCAAGATCAATCGCGAGGCTTTGGAACACCTGGACCGCAACTTGGCAAGAAATTGGTTGAGCGCAAGGGGGAGGACATCAACCTTGGCAAAGGAGGGCACTGGCAAGACATGGCAAGACGTTGAAGCAGACGAGGCCTTGGCGATCTTCGACAAAACTACCTCAAGATCCAGCGCTCACTGGGAGCAATGAGCAGGTCTCCTTGCTCGTGGTCGCCGGGATCCCTTGGAGGTGCAATCCGCAAAGCTGAATGGCAGCCCATTGCTCTGAAGGCCTTTGGCATGACAGTGTCGCGCACAAAAAGCCTTTTTAAAATTGGTGGTAAGTATGTGTGGCAAGTGCCCACTTTTGTCAAGCTCTCCACTCACAAGCTTCCAATCGGGAAGACAATTCGAAGGAAGGCTGGCACGCAAATTGTTGACCGAGCCTGGCACCTGAGTCAAGCTGCAACTGTTGGCTCCACTGTCGCGCGCACAGACCCGGGGCACCCAGTATGGGCACTGGAAGCGCAACGAGGATACAAAGATCATCTCAACCCTGTGTTGGTTCTCTACAGTTTGGATATCTATCTATCTATAGTATTGACTCAGACAGGCATGCGACAACAAGCAAAAATAGTAGATCTTTGGGGGCAGCATATACACATATATATATATACATACATAAACTCAGCAAGCCTACCTGGACACCGCGAATTGCTCCATTAAAAACTAAACGAATACCAAGGATCATGAGGGGCTATGAGCGGGGTGGGTTGACCAAAAGAACCAGCAAAAACAAACAAACATTGAAAGAAATAACAACCGCAAAATCAAGAAGTCCTGGGGAGGGGGGGCAGCCAAGAGTTTTGGAACATGTTTTTAGTATGTTATTGGTTAAATGTGTGTGTGGTTTTCTCTCTGGGGCCCTCCCCAAAGAGTCTCTTTTCTTTAATTTTTTTTGGTTTTCTCTATGGGGTCCGCCCCACAGAGTCTGTGATTTCGAGGCCGAATTTCGGTTTAAAACTGGTATAAGGCTGTCCTTCAATCGTGACACTGAAACTAGATAATGAAACATGTGTGTTTTATATGATACTTGTGCATTTGTTGAGCACATGTATGTGAAACAGATGCAAATTTATACTATCAATATCTCTCACAGGGCCTTCAAGGTAGGTCCATGTGGGCTCGGTGACCATATACATTGGGTCTATCCTAAATAACCGTGGATGATGATAATGGTTAGTTAGTGCAGGCCTTGTTCAAAAATAGTAATTACTTTACTTCGAGTGATCCCCACCATGACATTTCAATCATTTGACTTGATGCCATAGTGAGGAGCATGTTGCCATGGTCGTGAGTATTGTAGTTCTCGATTTTGCTTGTGGGTCCTCGGGTTGTGTGCTGCGGTTGTGTGTTGTGGTTGTGGTTGTGTGCTGTGTTGTGGTTGTGGTTGTGTTTCTGATTGTGTGTTTGTGGCTGTGTGTTTGTGATTGTGTGTTTGTGGATGCGTTTGCGGTTGTGCTTGTGGCTGTACGTTTGTGGATGTGTCTTTGTGGTCGTGTTGTTGTGGTTGCGTGTTTGTGGTTGTGTGTTTGTGGTTGTGTTTGTGGTTGTGTGTTTATTGTTGTGTCTTTGTGGTTGTGTGTTTGTTGTTATGTTTGTGGTTGTGTGTGTGGTTGTGTTTGTGGTTGTGTGCTGTGGTTGTGTTTGTGATTGTGTTGGTGGTTGTGTGTTGTGGTTGTGGTTGTGATTGTGCTTGTGATTGTGTATTTGTGATTGTGTGTTTCTGGTTGTGTTTGTGGTTGTGTGTTTGTGGTTGTGTGTTTGTGGTTGTGTGTGTGTGGTTGTGTCTTTGTGGTTGTGTTGTTGTGGTTGTTTGTGTTTGTGTTTGTGGTTGCGTGTCTATTGTTGTGTGATTGTGGGTGTGCGTTTGTTGTTATGTTTGTGGTTGTGTTTGTGGTTGTGTGTTTGTGGTTGTGTCTTTGTGGTTTTGTTGTTGTGGTTGTGTGTTTGTGGTTGAGTGTTTGTGGTTGTGTGTCTGTGGTTGTGTGTCGATTGTTGTGTCTTTGTGGGTGTTTGTTTGTTGTTATGTTTGTGGTTGTGTTTGTTGTTGTGTTTGTGGTTGTGGTTGTGGTTGCGTGTTTGTGGTTGTGTTTGTGGCTGTGTGCTTGTGGTTATGTGTTTGTATTTGTGTGTTTGTGGTTGTGTTTGTGGTTGTGAGCTTGTGGTTGTGTTTGTGGTTGTGTGTTTGAAGCATACTATCTGCCATTCTATCTGGCAATCTATCTGACATACTATTTGGCATACTATCTGGCATATCTTCTTGCAGCATTCTATAAGGCAATCTACTTGGCATTCTATCTGGCATTTTATCTGGCAAACTATCTGGTTGAGGTCCAGCGGTGCACACTGCGATCGGATCCTTGCGGTTGAG